AGGTTTGTGCGATTTTGTGACACATGTCAGAGAACCACACCAAAAGGTTTGGTCTCGAAGGTACCTTTGAGGACTACGCCTATTATTGGGCAACTTTTTCAAAGAGTCGCAGTGGACAATGTAGGACCTATAAAACCAGTGTCCGACAGAGGAAACGTCGTGCAGACACATACCTAGTATCATTGTTACATTGTTGATGTGGGGTGACAGTGAAGTGTGACTGCGACTCACGAATATGGATGTGCGTGTTAGTGTAGGCAAGTCTAGTGGTGCCACTATGGAATTAAGTATGCCGTGCAGTGACGTGATGTGCCGTGAAGTGAAGCGTTGTACGGTGAAGGGAAGTGCTGAGATGTACCGTGAAGTGCTGTGTCGTGCAGGGAAGTGTTGTGTGGTACAGTGAAGTGTATGGTGCTAGTGGGGACGACAGTTTTCGTCGAAAACTAAAAAAATTGGGGGCCATTGTCAAGAATGACAAGATGAAGAAAAGAGGAAGAGAACGAAGTTGTCTTGAATAGGTAATTTAAAATGCTGGAATGAGGGAGAAGAAGAGGAAAAAGAAGTGGGCGCGGGAGGAATGCGAGAGCCGGGACGTGGCATTCGAGGGGCCAAGCAAGAGCTGCAAAAGTTCGAACTGGGTCTCGCCCCAGGCTCCCGCCTGAGCACCTGACTCGGCGAGCAGCGCACAGAGCAACCGCCGATCCCGGGCTGCAGTTTCCCGCCCGAGCACCGACCTCGGCGAGCAGCCTCGGAACCACCGCCGAACCTGGTCTGCAGTGTATCCCGCCCAAGCACCTGCCTCGGCGAGAAACCACTGGAGCTACCGCTGTAGTGGTTCTTCAACATCGTCGCCACCGTTGGGCATCAATAGGCGTGTCATCACGCCTGAGAGGGACTCCCAGCGGACCGGAGGCCACGCCACAACTGTAAGCGCGAGAACTAGAGAACGCAAACGGAATCGGACGTTGAAACGCGCGTCATTAAGACATCTCCTTTTCGGTGTTTTTCAAAGTGTGCGTGTTTTTGTTGTTGTTTCGTTTTGTGATTATCATGGTAATGAAGTTGTAGTTTTCGTTTCGTACCATCAGCCTCTATGGTTCATTTCGCAACGCCCGACGAGCGAACCAGGCTTCAGCATATACGCGTGACAGGCACACAACCACAGTTTGTCTCCGTTCACTTACGCTACGGAGGTGCGCACTAATTGCTTTGGTACTAGGAAGTAGAGCCCCGATTCTTCCGATGTGAAGTATTCCCCAAGTGCCGCATCTCATTTATTGGATTTCAGTTTGTCAGACAAGAATTTACTTTGGAGTTCCGACTCTGATAATGATGAAGGAGCGACATTTCAAAAGTGTGCGTGACGAGACAATTACAACTGGATCAAAGGTGACTATTCCCCAGTGTTTAGAGTTAAAGCAAGAACATTTCTTACCAGATAAGAGCTCTAGTGCACTTATTTCTGTGTGTCCGTGAGCTGTGTCTAATACAATGCATAATTGTTATTTATAGAAAATCATATCTGTTTTTTTATCATTTTGCTTGATGTTACTATAAATATACTATGTCTATGTAATAATTTTTTTTTACTTTACAGACCCGCAAAAAAATTTCAGACTTTTTCCTTAACTCTTTAGTTACCACGCCTATTCAAATCAATCACCGGTAATCAACACTTTGGATCACGGAGCCAGAATATTTGATGAGGAAAAACTCCCAAACTGCGACAACGTGCAAGGGCGATGCGATAGCGTCACGGAAAAATGCGGTTGACGACGAAGCTCGCCAGATGACGCTTTCGGCGTGTTGCCATCTTTTAGATGCGTTTCTATGCAGGTGACACATAAAAAATTGCGATAGCTCCTCGTACATTGTAAAATTTTTCTGATTTCTGTCTGTACCATCATTCAGTAAACGTGACACGATATTTCGGCTGCAGTTACCCATATATACTGCCAAAATTAGAGGCCGTACAACACTTGAAACGAGCTGCTAAATTGTCCCTGAGCAGACGATGCTTACGTCTGCCTATGCCCGTGCCCCTTGCTGCTCGCTCGCATGTTGTGTGGGTGCACGCGTAGGTGGCCTTGGGAGGGAAAGTTCTCAGCATGCGGCCACGATTCCTTTTGCTATCTTGACTTCCTCGTGTTACGCCGGCGCAGCCAACTTGGGCGATTCCTCTGTGTCTGCAGGTGTTTTATGCCCTGACGAAGGAGAGTGCTTTGAATATTTCAACCAGTGGTTCTTCGGGATGCAGCCAGAGTGTGCTGTGCCGAAATTAAACAGTGTTTAGGCATATCCAGCAAGGACAAGGTAATTGCCTTCAAAGTTCCTAGTAGCCCAGTGAGGTTTGAGGCATTGGCTTACACCATAACAAGGAAAGACCGAGGCCGAACAGGGACATATTCAGGTGGTGTTAATGGGGTGAGCATCATGGCAGCGAAGTTTCCCTGGACAAAGCGAAACGGCCAGTGCTCTTACCGGAATCCGTGCCTTCACTCTTTCTGCACTTTTTCTGCTAGTTGACAGCTATTGTGAGAATTTAGGCTAACCCACCACCCCTGCACGGCTTTGCTGACTCTTTCTGCGTGAAATTGTGACGCTGAACATTGAGCTTATGCGTGGAGAGAGGGACGACCGACGCTTTGACCTTTTCTCGCGCAGCCGTCGGCAATGTGTGTGTGCGCGCTTGTTTCTGAGTGTGTGTACGTGTGTGGCGCTTCTGTGTGTGCCCTTGAAAAGTGCGCGTCGTGGTTTCGACCCATTGACGTGGACACTAGAGGTGCTCGGGGTCCTGATCCAGTGATATCAGACAGTCCGGCTGAGCTCTGCTCTCAGCCGTCGCCGTGAAGCCCTGCTGCCTTTTCCACCATGGCTCCTGCGTGAGGCCAGCTGATAACAGCTATATGCTGCCAGCCAAAGCCAGGGCGCCTCGCAGCCAATTCCGGTTCGGCCTCCCTGATCCCCGGAGAGGCCCGGCTTCCCAGTGAGGTTCTCCCGTAATCCATCGAGAAATTCGGCGCCTTCGATCCACCACCGAAGCAGCGTTCGTCGGACTCGCCGACTAATCAAGAGCAGCCACGAGCCATCAATGAGCCTCTTCCCTGCATCTGACATCGCACCCAGCGGACATTGTCACGCTCTTCCGCCTCTCCGCGCGGTGTACGCTATCCCGCATCAGCACATGAACCCTAGCTTTACTTCCTTAGCTCTTTTTTTTTTTCTTTCGCAAATATGTTATAGTGTCATGTGTTTATTGTGTTAATAATGTTTCTCCTTTATAATTTTTTTAGCAGCAGTTACAGGGCTAGACTGAGGCTAGCTGTTGCTCATAACAGTGTCATTTTAACTGCATGGGTGACGTCGGGCTGCCTTTGCAGACCGGTAAAGGACAAATTTAGGAGAGGGGGATGTGGGAATTGAGGCTAGCCCACTGCCTTTTTGCAGGCTTTGCTGCCTCTTTCTGTGTTCTCATGTCCTGACATGACTCTCCTCTCCTCCGCAGTCTGCCTCGCTGGGAGGGCAGAGAGGGACGTTTAACTTTACCTTCTCACCCAGTAGCGGATTTCGACTGTGGTGCCGTGCGTGGGGTCTCTCGGGACATTTCGCGCATGCGTCGGAAGCGAGTCAGATCTCTCCGGGACGATTGAGGGTGAGCAGCTCTTTTCCCTCTGTTGACTCCTTTTGTTTGGGGCTCGTCGGATTTCGCCAGCGGCGCTTCATGCCCGCGGCGAACGCTCACCTTTTGTTGCCCCTTGCGAACGCTAGGCCGAAGAGCGGTGCAGTGTCTTAGTGCATGGCCAGGCTACGCCGACCTGTATCTCTTTGAAGCCAACGCGAGCGCCTTTGCCCTAGCTCGAGCAACCGAGCCTTTGATGATATGTGGGGTTTAACGTCCCAAAACCACCATATGATTATGAGAGACGCCGTAGTGGAGGGCTCCGGAAATTTCGACCACATGGGGTTCTTTAAGGTGCACCCAAATCGAGCAACCGGGCCTTTGTCCCAGTGTCTCCATGAATCTCTTTTACCACAGACACTGTCCCAAGGTCATTTATCTTCAAAATGTATATTTTTCATTTTCTTTGTTCTGAATATTTCTGCATGTAGAGTGTTTTCTATAGCACTGTTTACCAGCTGGCAAACAAAAATTACATACTTTTCACATTTTTATTCATTTCAAAATATTTCTGTTTCTCTACACATATTTTTTTTTTGAAAGAGCATTTCATTGTGCGACATTTGGTATGTCGCAATGTGTGCTGGGGTACTTTTCAAACTGGCAAAAACTATCGTTCTGAGAAATATGAATAATAACCATTTTGCTGCAGTAATAAAAGTAAATATAATCGCCTGAAGAATTTATTTGCAAAGCCTCCGTCTCGTCACTAGATAGCCTGACATGACATGGCCACTTGCTGCAACACGCTTCCGATAAGGGACAGTGCCACCGCAGTTTCACCGGAGGCTTACGTCACCACTGGTGGCTATAGTTGCCAAGATAGGTTAAATGATTGTTTCTCTAACCTTTCAAGTGCAGCGGTGGCATGTTTGCCCTGCTGCTGCTACCACATTAATAAACGATCGTTACGTTTTATGTTAGGATGCGCCCTTCTATCGACATGGCATCCAGAAGTTAATGCTTCATGAATACAAAGTAACAAAGCTTGCGGCAGTTTACATCCTGAAAGTTCAGACAATATTTTACTGTCACAGAAAATATGAATTAACAAGCTTTCACTATACAATAGACTGGACATAACATCTTTTCAAGGAAGTATGAATACAAGTATGCAGTGTTTAGCCCTACTAAAATGCTAACTTAAGCTTATGCTGTAAATGCTGCATTTTTGCTTTCTTGTATAAAATGCTAGGTAAGAAAACAAGAATGCTATAATTACTTGCACTGTGTCTCTATGGGTTTTGAGAAATCTGATAACTAATCTGCAAGCTAATGTTTACGAGCTGTGCTGTTTTGTAAACAATGAAATCTCACAAACCCTGCTCTCTTCAATGGTGTCTAATGGCTCAGGAGGATCATCCAAGCAGAAGAACTCTCTCACCGGTGCACTGAAAGGAAATACTTATTTAGTCAAAGGACAATGCATGGCCACAATATATGCAAAATACCTAGACAATGCTGCTAGATTGCCTCTTTCCAGTAACACATTGTATCTATTATGTATATACAGATAAGTAATAAATTATGCAATTCTGGCACAGGAAGTTATGAACACATACAAGATGCCAAACTAGTCAAAATATGAATGTCAAATTTTTGTACATAGTTAGTGATATATATATATTATTAAACTCTGTTCAAACAACCTTTACTGCAGAGCACACAACGCGGTAAAACACTGTGTAGCAGTTAATGTAGCCATGAGTAAAGACGCTTTCATGTGCATAGCTTTATGTGCTGCAGCGAAAGTTGCTTGCAGAGTCTGTAGTAACTGCACAGTACTGAGTTGAAGTTTCCTATGTACACATTACCGCTTTTCTAGTGTAAGATACCATACATTTGTATGAAAAATTCTTGAACAAGCGATGGTGCCTGAGCCAACATTTCAACAAGTTGTCGAGACTTTTTTAAGGCTGCAACTTGAAGAAGACGGGACTTCTTGTTGAAACAGTGGCTCCAGCAACACCCTTTTGTCAAGAATGTCTCATCTCTTCAAGGTGCAATCTTCCCATAAACTTCTGTTTTTTTTCAGGGTCCTATACTATTATGACATTAAATTACAAGCACAGTACAAAACATAGAATATGGTACATGAGGAATCCTTTTATTACTCTCATTTTAATGGTTCTGGTTCATAAATGAACTCAAGGACACTGAGAATATGAGAAAATATGAGCTGTTGTAGCTTGAACTTTCATATTAAGGCCAAGCAATACTTGGGTGGTGCTGCCACCTTTCATGACTAGCAAAACCAAGCAATACTACTGCCAATCAGCCTAATTCACCTTCACAGTTCTTGCACAAGCACATGTAGACAAAGTAGAAAAACACACGGACGGTTGCAATTAACAACTCATTTATTTTTTTTAACACAACATATTTTAACTTAATACTCACTTAACTTAATTTTTTCCAACCAGATCATGCAGATCTGAGAGTAGTTAAGTGAGTGTGTTTGCTAACAGTGAGTGAGGTAACAATTCACTAATTTTGCAAACGCAGCCACAGCGACGAGCAAAATCACCTTCATGTGGTCTATAGCGTCAACATATACTTTGGGATGAAAGCACAAGACCCACAGAACTCCTCGTCAATGAATAAGCGTGCGAACATAAGCAACCATATCCTGTACGTCATAGTACAAGTCCGAGGCGCACATGCCAACTCCGACAAAACACTACAGTGTTTTAGAATTCAGGACCCGAGAAATTGGCAGTGGTGCGTGAAGCCATGTCTCGCATTTCCTGCTGGCGACTATTCTGATCACTACATTAGGTCTTCCATTGGGTCTTGTTGATATATATTGCTGAAGCTAAAATTACAGCAAAACATGCTTCCTTACCTAAATGAATATGATTTCACGTCTTCACATATGTATTACACTATCATCCTTGTTACAGATTTTGGTTTAGAGCTATTGTTGTCTGCGCACGAACAGCAAGGTTGCTTTGGGTTTATATATGCATATGAAAAAATGATGCAGTAATTAGTCAGTGCTTGTATCATATGTTATTTTTCTTCGTGGGTGTCCTGTGTGTTTGCACTGCAGCTTTTAACTTCAGGATTCTGGTCATGGTGCAAGATATTGCTCTGGTTCTGGTTCAGCCATCTCGTTTCTTCTCTCTTGTGATACAAGCCAACAAGAGACAAAGCACTCCAATTAGCTTGCTGGCGCTCTTCTTTTTGCTCTGGCCAATCTTCCGCGAGTGGCACGATCTTATAACCCCAAATTTGAAAACTAGCGTGGCTCGCCAGTGACACAATGCAAACGCAGCATGGCCAACGATGCAGCATGGGGCCCATGTCTTGCACAATTTTAATTTCACCACGTGTGACATCCCATGCGTTTCACCCAATGCCATGTACATTGTATTCTGCTGTTAGTGTCCTGAAAAATAAATGGAGAAAAATAAATGGCATAATTGTGAAACGAAATCGAGGGGGTCAGCGGTACGAAAGGCCAGTCGCGTGCTTCAAAAATTTTTTCTTGTGAATTTTTGTATGAGGCTTTTATATACATCTATACATACAATAGATATATGAGACACGAAAGCAACAGCAAGAAACCACTGAGTGTCTCCATATAATTGCTGTCGCAATAAAACAAAGAGTATTTGCAGCGATACTCAGTCTTCTTTAAGAAAAAAAAAAAAAAACGGGTACAGACTGCCTGAGTGAGCCCCGAAAATGACCCTGCACTTCTTCAAGAAGAGTAGATTACCGTATTTTCAATGTATAAGGTGAACTTTCCCCCCATTATTTTCACTGCTGCATTTTATTTTTGTAAAAAGTCAGGCGATTATGCAAGACCTTTTTTAAAAGGTATCTAATCTTGTTATAGCAATGAAGCAGGTGGGATCTTAGCCATTAGCTACTACAGTGGTTCTCAGCCATGGATGTGTCGGGGACCCCTTGTGGACTGGTGGAAGGGATGGGGGACCCTCTGCAGCGGAGGGGAGGGAAGGGGGTACGTAGGTAAATTAACACAACTGGAGCGTGAAACAGGTGCCTTTTATTGCCGCCAAAAACATTAAACAAATGTGCTACATCACTTCATTTTGGACAGTTCATCAATTTGTGTCACAGTTGCGCTTAAACAGAGTTTCGTATGTAAAAAAAATAATAAAAAATGTTAAAAACGGGTGAGGGTTTCGTGGATCATAGATATGGCTTCGCTGACTCTCAAACCCCCTGGGGTCCGCAGAACCCCATTTGAGAACCACTGAGCTACTAGATGTTCAGGCACTGCAGCAGCCACGGAGATTTGGGCCGCAGTTAAGGCTACCATCTTCACACAAACCATTCTACTGCTAGAATTGTTTGTTCTTAAAGGGGCCCTGAAACACTTTTTCAAATAACCATGGTATGAATTCACTGGAAGAGCTTATTGCCTCACGAACTTAACGCCCAAAAAATTTTAAGAATCCGTCCAGTGCGAGTGGAGTTATGTTTGTCACATGCTGCAATTGCATTCTCTCTTCTCTCGTTCCGACGAAAGCGCTGGAAGCTAAGCAGGGAGGGCAGGCGGGGCCACAGAAAAACGTCACGTGAGCCTCGTGACCTTGAGCACTTTTTTTTTTCTTTCCTTTCTTCGAATGCGCCGCTTCTTCAGGGTGATCGCCCTTCAAGGCATAGCCTATGACGAACATCAATTCAGCTACAAAATTTTTCAAAGCATCACATATCATTCCTACACTTGCGTGTAGCACTGAAGGAAGGGAGCTTCATCACATTCTATGCGACTGCATACGAGACTTCGCTGATGAAGCTCAACGTCATCGAGCAATTGGAACTGCAGATTAATGATGCAACTTTAATGTATTGGCTTGCAACACCACTTTCTTCGCAGCTTCCTCCAGGCATACCTCGAAGATTCAAGCATCTGACTGATGGGGAGTTAGGACCTGTCAAGGACTACGTCCACCGGGTCAAGAGGTGGCAGGACATCATGCTGAGGTCTACCAAGCTGCATCGGCTGCCTCCTGCGCTCCCACAACAGGTCGCCAGCGAACTGCACCAGCTCGAAAACAAGGACTTCATTGTCGACAACAATAATCAACAAAAGCAATCAACATTACCCCATTAGCAAGCAGGTTTTGCCTAAGCAGGCCATTTGCAGTATCCGCCTCTTCGGTGGTACAAGAGCAAAATTCCAACACGAGGGAGAGAAGAAATAGAACTTCAAAATCTGCTCACATTAGCTGCTACCCTCAAGGCTTTTCTTCAGAGTCTAGGTTGAACTGTCTATGGGGGATGCGCATAAACACCTGACAGCATGCGAGCGCATGTTTCAAAAAGAAGACAGATACGTTTCAAAAAGGAGACAGATAGGATAGTGCACTCTATCCTATCGGTCTTCTTTATGAAATATTCCTTGCGCACTAAGAAAGTATATTTCTTTCAAAAATTGATTGATTGATTTGTGGGGTTTAACGTCCCAAAACCACCATTTGATTATGAGAGACGCCGTAGTGGAGGGCTCCGGAAATTTCGACCACCTGGGGTTCTTTAACGTGCGCCCAAATCTGAGCACACGGGCCTACAACATTTCCGCCTCCATCGGAAATGCAGCCGCCGCAGCCGGGAATCGAACCCGCGACCTGCGGGTCAGCAGCCGAGTACCTTAGCCACTAGACCACCGCGGCGGGGCATTTCTTTCAAAAATGGTTCTTTCTCCCATGACGAACGATAATTAGCGGTCACAGTGCACCTTCATCTGCTGTAATCAGTTCTGGTGAAATCACCACGCAAGCATAAATAGCCCTCGAGATTTGTTGCTGACATTTACGTACAGCAATTTATAGTTCACCATTGGTGTTCAACTTAAAGCCCACAATGCAAAGTGTACTAATAGTATATGAATTAATAAAGTCATGCTTTTGTTCTGCAACTGTGGAGGGGCTAGTCATGATTTCAAAAGTAGCCAGTACGTCAGACACGTGTAATTATAGTATGTGTGTGCGTGGATGGGGGTGGAAATTAGTACTGTTGTGCAGGGAAATATGCTGAGAATTTCGTCAACGTTTGCAAGAAAAAATCACCAAAATAGGGAATTTTCATGTAACTGAATGGAAATTCTTCAGCTTAGTACAGAACATTGCTGATTTGAAATTTTTACACTCACTGCAGATATTTCTGAAAGGAATCTTCAATAATAAAATTTATTTAGATTTTCCTTATCTCTTTTCCAGCTAAACAAAACAGAAAGTGACTTATTTCATCCAAGCAATCATTAAAAAAAATTACAATGTGGAGAGCAAGATCTTGCTGTACCCTGGAAAGTGGTTGAAGGGAAGGGGGGTCCAGAAAAGACCATGGGCTATGAGACAAAAGCCACTGCTTCCTCATAAATTAATGAAAACTCGATTTGCATTACTTACAACTTGCA